CTAGTGAAATAGTGTAGTAGTGATATATTTTGCTTGTGGATAAAATTATATTTTATGCAAATGAGTAAAAAAAGTAAGATGCTTAGAATTTTTTCAAAGTGAAATGAGGGGCCATTAGAGAGTTTTAAGTAGGGGGTGACATGATTGAATTTATGTTTTAAAAAAAATCAATCTGGCTGCTATGTAAACAAAGGATATGAATACAGAAATAAGAAAAACAGAAAATTATTGCAGTAGTCCAAATATACATGGTGGCTTGGACTGGGGTGGTAACAATGGAGAAAATAATAAATTGACATATTTGGGGTAAGGTGTTCAGAAATTAAGTAGGGAAAACTTACTGACAGATTGGATAAGAAAAGGTTGAAAAGAAGAGTCAAGGACAATGTCTAGGTGTTTGATATGAACTAGATGGATGGTGACACTGTTTACTAAGATTGAAAATAATTGGGGGAAAAAATAAGAGAAGGCAGAGAGCATCGAGAGCTCAGTTGGGGACATGATAAGTTTGAAATTCCAATTAGACATCCAAGTAGATATATTAACTTGGCAGGTGGGTATTTAAGCCTGGACTTCTAGTCTTATAAAATTATGAATTTTAGAATTATGTGTATAGATGATTTTAAAGCCATGAAAACAAGATTTTCTAGGAACAGAGTTCAAGAAGCAAAAGGAACCCTGAAGATGTCAAAGATAAGAAATCAAGCAAGAGAAGATCCAGCAAAGCATCTGAGAGGGAATGGCCAATGGTAAAGGACAAGGATCAGGACAGTGTCGCACCATAGAATCAAAAGAAGGAATTGAAGCAAAAGAAATGGAGCGGTCATTTGTGTCAAATTCTGCTGAGAGTGTGAATGAGATGATGACAGAGAAGTAACCCTGGGTGTTTGCAATACAGATGTCACTAGTGGCCTGGACAAGAATACTCTTGGTGCAATGGTAGGGATAATAGCCTGCTTGGAGTAGATAGTGGATTGAATTATGTCCCCCCAAAACTCACTGAAGCTTGAATTGTCTCCCAAGTTTTATGTATTGGAAACTTGGTCCCCACTGTGACTGTTAAGAGAGTGGGAAATCCTATTATGGTAATTGAAAGATGGGGCCTTGAAAAGGTGATTGGATTGTAGGACCCTGCAGTAGTGAATGGATTAATAATGGTGGTCAGGGGTGTGGTTTGTAGAGCTTTAAAAGGAGAGTGAATGAGGAGGTTAGTCTCTCTCTGCTCCACCATTTTCGCAATGTGATACTCTGCCATCACTGTTGCCACCACCAGATGGGTTCCTTGGACTTTGGACTTCCCAGCTTCAGAAACTGTAAGCAATAAATTTCATTTTCTTTATAAATCACCCAGTTCTGTGTATTTTGTTGTAAGCAACAGAAACAGACTAATACAGAATGGGAAGTGGAAAAGATGTGAGAAGAAAAAGTAGAGTCAGAAAATACAGACAAATTCTTCAAGATGTGTTGCTGTAAAGGTGAACAGAGACATGTGATGGTAGATGAAGTGATGCAGTGGAAGACAGAAATTGATACTGCGGGAGAGGAGACAACAATTGCTGGCAAATGGTCCAGGGACACAACTTCATCCACAAAATAAGAGGGATTTGATAGGGTATGATACAAATTCAAAGTTGGTAGTTTTAGTACTGGAAAGCAGAGAGTTTGTCAGCTTTCCATTTTCTATGACATATATGTCAAAGCTCACCATCAAGATTGTGGGAAGAGGAGGAGAGAGATGAGGTTGGATAAGACAAAGTGTATAATACTTGTTTGAGAGATAGTTAATACGGAGATGTTATGAAATCACCATAGGAATGCTTTGAAATGATTGTGGTGTCTCTATGTGAAAAAACATTCTAAACTGTGTGTATTAGTCCATTTCTTTTGCTTATAACAAAATACCTGGAACTGGGTGATTTATAAGGAAACAATATTTATTGCTTATAGTTTTGAAGGCTGGGAAGTCTAAAGTCCAGGGAGCACATCAAGTGAGGATCTTCCTTGGTGATGGCTTCAGCAATACAGTGTATCACATTGCAAGATGTCAGAAACAGAAAGAGACAGACTCTCACATGCTCTCGTTTGAAAGCCCTCAGAACCATACCCATGACCACCATTATTAATCCACTCACTAAGGCATGGTCCTCAGAATCTAATCACCTCTTCAAGGCCCCACCTTTCAATTGCCATAATAGGACTTCCCACCCTCAACAGTTACAATGGCTCCAATGACTTTGGGAGCCATTCTGTACACTGCACCATGTGTGAGGAAGTCCAACAATATTCTGATTTTTCCAATGGTGACTAAATTTTTTTAAAAAGTCAAATATCAAATTCCTTAGTGTTTTAAATCTCTCCTGCACCCTGCTTTGCTCATGTTCTAAGCATTCTCTCTATGATAAGTTGATTAGGCCCTTTCTAAAAGAAGAGAGAGAAGCTGGAGAGAGCATCAAATGATTGACCATCCTGGAGGAAGATGGTCACATGGGACTAAAGAGGTGAGACTGGGATGCTGAGAAACCCCTTCTCCCACCCCTCATTTTGCTTTGCATCAGTCTAGACAACTTGGCTGCAGCTGTGCCATGTTTAACAGGAAAATAGGAAGAAATGTTTGCTGCCATTCAATTAAAGTGGAAGTGCCCCTAGAGACTGCTTACAGCATTTATGACAGTGATTCCAGGCAAGGCCATCATCTTATTTTGGTGCCTCTTAAGAAAGTATAGAGAAGAGAGATAACTAGTAGGGAAAAATATGAGCAATTTGTCTACAGAGAAACAGAAAATTTATTAACTATCAACAAATCAAATACACAGTAATGGAAAGAATTCATTTAGAAACAACAAGAGGACACTTTATTAAAAATATAATTAGGTGCAGATTGGTGCTGCCCATCTAATTCATTTATTCATGCATATTTATTAGGTGCCTATTATGTATCAGGCGCCATGCTAGATACTAGGTACATATTCCACAGTACATTCAATTTTCTGGAACAAAGTTGTGTTCTCTCAGAACTAAAGTGTAACTGACTGTAAAATTGGTTCTGTAGGATCAGAAACAATCACAGGACATCTATACTATCTGTGTCTGTTCAAAGAGAGATCTTACCCAATTTCCAATGGCCTGGGTTCTAGATTTGGTTTGCCACTATTGGTGAGATACAGGAAGCAAGGACGGTCTGGGTCTCACATTTTTGCCTATAAAATGTGAGCTCTGGATAAGATATCTTGAAAATTTCTTCTAGACATTCTAGCTCAAAAAGAATTTCTGATTCAGTCAGCCTTATCTAAGCACTCACCCCCAGCTCTGATATGTTGTCCAGTCTCCCAAAGCCAGCCACTGCTCAGCTCTAACTATGAATGTATTCCAATAGATGTGTGTGTGTGTATACATACATATATCTATCTCACACACACACACACACACACACACACACACACACACACTCTAATAGAATTTTAAGAACAGGTACCATTTGAGTGGAACAACTTACAACATATTTTTAGTTGTATTTCTTCAAGACAACTCTGTAAGGTAAACTTTGTTATCATTTCTACCTTAGAGGTGAAGGAAACAGCCTCACAGAGATTTCTCAGCCTGCTGAGGCAACCCCAGAGCCAGACGACAAACCCAGATCTTCTGAGTCAAATCCAGCATGCTCTCGACTAAACACAGTGCACCAGGCTACATTTTGCTGTTCAAACTATATGGAACCATAGAGAAATAATCAATAACATAGTCAAGTGCTTTTGAAACATTTTTTTAAATTAGAAAACCCAATATGTGTAAGACAGGGATTAAAAGAGAGAGAGAGAGATTAAATTATGGGTTTGTAATCCTCTGCCCAACCCAATGAGCCTTCTAAGAAGAAAGGATTATTGCCCTTCTAGACAGCCATAGGGACTTAGCTGTGCTTACTGAGGGAGAGAGTAGAAAGGATAATTGGGTGTGCCAAACAAGTGTCAGTTGCTCAATATAAGAAAGGTGGCCTATGGGGGCAAAAAAAAGTTAAGTTATGAGACTTCGAGATTCTCTGGAATAAAAAGGATTTGAAATTAATGGACACTATGATGTGTGTGTGTGGGGGGGGTTAAGCGAGAGATGATTTAAAAAATACCTTAAGTAAATTTTTGCCAAAACTGGTAACTAATAAGCCCCATTTTATTTCAGTTAAACATAAAACAAATAAAACTCAAGCTTCTCTGCTGAGGTGTCCAAAACACAGCCTGCCCAAATACACTCAAAACAAACTGTGTCTGTGGGAAGGTGTTTCCCTTCCATCTTTGCAGACAGCTTAATCCTTTTGAACTAAAGCAATTAGAATCAGGCTTAGTTCTAAACACAGGCAGGTGCCTTCCTGGGGAGTTAGAAAGCTGCCTTCCCCAGTACCTCCTCCAACACTTTCTATTATTTAGGACATCATCGACAAGATGATGATATGAATTTAGATTCCACTTTACAAAAAAATTAGATGGTTCTAAGAGGATAAGAAAAATGGAACATAAAAATAATCAGTTAAACTATGTGATTTTACAACTTGCATCCTAAATGTCTACAAATACGAATGTATGAGTATGTATATACTGTATGTGTGTATATGTTTGAATGTTCACATGGTATATAACAAGGCACTAAATAGTTGAGATGGAACTAAACAGAAAAAGAAAATATAATTATAACAATAAAGTGTTTTCAAAGGAGAATACTAAGGGGATGCCCAAGAAAATTACTATGCTGTCATGTTGGCAAATGAGTTCATTTAGTCAGTAATTTGATTAAAACTAATTTCTGAGTGGAAAATAATTTCAAATTTGATGCTTTCAAAGGTCAGTGAAGTCTGAAGACCCACAGCTCCCCAGAATGAAACAGAAAAGAAGAAAAGCCTATAAAAAATGGAAAACCTTGAATACCACAGTATGTAAGTCAAATATGATGATGTTGTAAGTATGTATAAATTGAACTACCCAGATTATATATTTTATCTTTATCACAGGAATGTCTATGAAAGTAGAAAGACAAATAATATAAGTATTACAAAGTGATTTCAAAGTTTGGCCTATTGTTATTATGTATACACTTCTGCATTAATTATTAATAATATGTATTATGAATAATAAAATCTTAAATAAAAATACTTCCTTATGAGACAAAGGCTATTAAGACCTCCTATTCTTAGAATTTGTTATTAATGCATTATTATGTAATCATCTCAGTTCTATCTTCCCGGTTGCAGAAACCGAAAAGGACTATAAAGTGTAAAATTACAAAATTGAAAGGGGGTATTAACTGAACTTCTCTTGGCATGAAGGTGTTATTTTAAGAATAAATTGTAATCTCCTGTTCTGAAAGGCAGTCTGTCAGTCTATAAACTCTTACCGTGTCCATACTCTATTGTAAATGGGCTTTAGAGAGATATGTTTCCATGTCTTTTCTCCCATGACTTCCACATGACAGCTCTCAGATTGTAACCAGGCCCACTGCAAACTGTTTTAGTACCTGCCAAGAGAGAAGCTCCCCTTTCAGGACAGAGGATAGAAGAGAGGCAAATGGGAATGGTTAGACTCCCCAAGTAACTTCAGTATGCTTAGTGTTTTTCTTTTTCCAGTTGAAAAGATTTATTTTTTTAAATTTATTATTTTATTTTTTATTTATTTTTATATAAAGTAATTTATATAAAAATACAGTAGTATATACAAAAACAATGTTTAAATTAAGAACATTTAAAATAAATTCATAAATAATCCTTTCCAGTTTTTAGCTCAATCAACTTATTAAAAATATCCTTGGAAACACTTGGTTCTTTGATTTCTATGATATCATTAACAAATAATCTCTTTCAGATATAGCTGAAAATAGAATTTGAGATCTTTGTACTTCACCCATCGTTTTTTACACAAAATCTGGAACATCATGCTCAGGTTCACAAATTTCTAACAGTAAACTATTTTAACATTACAAAGCAGAGGAACACAGGGTGCAAGCCAGCAGTTGGGCCAAACCTAGTTAGTTCTAAATACATCGACCTCCACCTACAGTGGGTTTCTAAACATCTGAGCCAATCCTCAGAAATTAGAAGATTTCACAGTGTAATGAATTGAGACTCTAGTTCTCTCCTGGAAAATGAGAGGATCTAGCAACACAAAGACATGGGGCAAGTACTGGCTGTAGCTGAACAGCAGAGTATATGTACCCAGCCTGCTCCACTAGTTGATGTTACCTGCCATATGTCACAGGCATTTGAGTTTGTGAAGCCATCCTCTAAAAAGCCCGAGGCAAAGGAAATTATCTTACCTGTTTGAAAGGCATCTAGACACCATCTGTAGGTCTCTTCCCTCCTCTTCATCCACATCATTATTTGCAACACCATCTCAAATTATATTATAACTGATTTAGCCTCCTTATAATGCCATGTTCAAACCTACTCGTGGCAACTCGCTCTTTGACAAGAAGTTGCATTTAAAATGTACTTGTATGCATTCCTTCTGAAATTTTTATTTTACCCACTTTTAGAAGTTGTTCTTTTAGAGTAAAACTTAAATTCTTACTTCCTAAAATCAACAGGTGATATTCTGTACTCCAAGATAATTTATTTTAAATAAGATATTTATTAGAAATGAACTTTTGTGGAAAATACCTTGACATACTAGAAATGAATGAAAACTTTTACCCAAAATCCTAACAAAGGATATGCATCATTACATTTAATCCTGGAATTTGGAACATCTGCTCTCTAAGTAGACACAGAAAACTTTTTTTTTTCCTTCATCTTTAGGTACATCTCAGCCTGCTGGTCAGACATGCCAAAAAAATATAAAAGATCGTGAAAAGGAAGTCAAAGGAGACACCTCAGAGGCTGTGTTTCATCAGACTGGGGCAGTAGGGAAATCTAAGGAAAATGGAGATGAGCATATGTCTGCTTCCATAAATGGAAAGCAGAATTCCTCTTTTCTCCCTAAAGATAAGAAACAACCTCCATCTGACAGCAAAATACATAGAGGAAAGGAAAATGATGACTCTCCTTTGACCATCTCTCATCAACTAAAGAAAATCTTACCAGTGGTCATGTTTAATGACTGTGAAGAATCACTATCAGGAAAAATTACACTGCAGGATTTCCCAAGCACAGTAGAAGCTATTAAACCAGCAAAAGGCAAATTTATTACAGAAGTAAAGTGTGGGGCTTTCGATGTACAAATAGAAATCAAAAAAAGCTTTTCCTGTAAAACAGGAATACAGTTCCCAACAAAAAATAGGTATCCAAAATATCACTGTAGTTTTAGGAACTACTTTCCTAAAAACAAGAATATATTTGTAGAATTAAAACCTAAGGTGCCATCTAAATATAAAGAAAAAATTGCCAGAACTGAGATTCCCTCACTGAAAATAAGCATTGCAGGGAAAGAAACTAAAGTTAAATATATGAGTAATAAACAGAATATATTGATTAATATAACTCATCCTAAAAGAAGGAGAAAAATAACTAAATACAGAAACACTCCCTCCAGTCACACCACTAAAGAATCTTCCAGTTCTCCCTCACAGTCTGGTATTAGGGACCCTGAAAAGCGGCAGCTTAAAAACAAGCATCAGAATTCAGATTGTTTCCATGGCTCTTCTCCTATTGTGTTTGCTGTCCAGAAGGAGGAGAATTTTGATACAGTTGTGGTTTCTCTAACTTCAACTCCAGAGAAAGGGAAAAATAATCCTGACACACTATCTTCAGTCTTAGATGATTGCAAAGTAGAATCTGCCATCTGTCAGCAGAAGGTCTTTAAAATTAATCAGAACACTCCCAGAAAGAAACATTTCTCTGAGGCTGAGACTCTTCTCAAAAACATTCCTTCTAACTCACATGATACCCTAAAGACCACAAGCTTAAGTAATACAGATTTAAGTAAAATGCCTTTTGAGGATCCTAAGGATGTGGATAAAGAGAGAAAAATCAACTTTGATATTCCAGAAAATATCACATCAAACTCACATATGCAGCAAAGCACAAAAGGAATAAATTATTTGCCAAGTACCATTACCAACATCTTTCCAGTTCAAGATGGTAAAGACTCCAACTTTTGTTCTTTGTCTTCTCTGAGCATGCAGCTCTTAGGAGAAAAGGGAGCCAACATCTATTGCAAAGGCAGCGAAACTCCACCTGCAGAATGTTGTGAAAACTCAAATTCTGTATCTTTCCCTTCCAGTCGAAATGCTCTGAAATCTTCTACTTCATTCAGCCCATCTCACTGGACCACCAGACATTCAGAATCTAAGGAAACCTCTGGAAATACATTTTCCTTTCAACACTATGCTGAATCTGTGATAGACTATGAGAGAGAGCATGCTGATGTGACTGACAGAAACCTTATCAAAGCCGTTTTAAATAGTGATTCTCACATGAAAGCACAGCAACTATTGGCAAGAAAGAGAACACAGTGTCTAACCCCAATGCCTATATCCTGCAGCAGCCTAGCTGCTGAGAGTCCCCTCAACAGTGTTAGCCATAGCACTGAGGAATGGGACCAAATGGAGTCCCAGGCAAGTCACCCAGAGACAGCAGCCCCCAGTGAAACAAAAGTACCAGTTATGACCTTCCTAACTGATGAGTTAGAGCAAAGATTAATTACTCAAAACAATAAAGAAGATACAGTTGATTCTAATTGTCCCATGGGGATGAAAAACTCTAAAGAGTCACCCAGCTCTCTGAGAAATGTTGAAAAAGACAAATGCCAGTTAACACCAGTGGCAAAGAATGAATGCCACAGAGATTTTGAAAACCTATCAAATGAGAATCATGATGAAGTCTGTTTCCAAATGGATTTTCCACCAAACACTGCTGAATCTAACTGTGCAGTGTGTGCTACAGATAATCTGTTTCTTTTTGAGAAAACACTGACCAATGTTGCAGACCAGTACGGCAACCAAGATGAAAAAAGGCTTGGACTAACCAGTTGCAAACAGGAGCCAGCAGAATGCCAAAGGATTTCATCAACAAGGTCAAATTCTGAAGATGAGAACAAAAATGACTCAAACGAAAATTACTATCACCAAATAGACATATTGCTGTCACCTCAGAAACAGAAGGCTTTGAAAGGTACAGTGGGCTATACAAAATCTTTAACTTTATTATTTTTGCATGTTTGAGCTTTGGAAAGTCTTAAGGTGAGGGCTTTTTTTATTGCTTGGGATTTTTTCTTTATTGCTAAAAATATATTAAGTATTTTAGAGTTAGAGAAACATGGGCAAGCATATATCAGCCTGCTTCTTTGCATTATCACCCACTCCACCCATAAATAGTGCATTGCAAAGTCACCAAGGCTGCAGTTTAATATAAAGTTTTTTAAAAAATCAATTTCTCTTTAAAAGGTTGATGTATTGCCAAATCAATTTTGTAGGAAATGTTAGCCTTTTGCCACTCTTAAATAACCCACCATTTTTCTCCTTCTTGCAAGCTAAGCAAGTTTAGAAAAATAGGAAGAAGATGTTTATAATAAAATGTGTTTTTAAGCCCTGCTGTGGTGTTGCAGAAGCATGGTATGCATGTCTCAGGAGACCATGTAGAATAGCAATTAAAGCAAAGGACAAAAACCAGAAACGACCATGGCTAATCCTAACTGAGCCATCCATGGGACCTGTGACCTCCCATGTGCATTGGTTGGCTCTGCTCAAACCGTTGATAGAACCCAGACTCTTTGTAGACCTCAAGAAGGACTAAGATGGAAGCTCTTTCCTAAGTACATAATACTGCCTGTCTGCTTTCAATCGTGGATCAGCACTATATCATTTTCATCACTTCACAGAAGGTCTTTGTTGTATTTTTCAATGACTCTGAATTATTTTACATTTAATGTTAGTATTATTCCATATTGTAAATTAAAATACGTCTTGAATGAGGAAGAACTGCTTTCCGAACTTCCCATAGCATTTGTAACGTCCTCAGAAATGGGATTTGGAATGATAAAACTTAACAGAGAAGCTATCTTTTCCTTGTTGTTGTTCTATCCCTAAATTTTTTAGTGAAATTAAATAATAAAATGTAGGAGTAGAAATGAAATACAAAAGTCATCATCGATTACATAAATGTTGGCATAAAACATGAAATTTGACTTATAGAGAATATATACCCCCAAACAGTACCAAAACGATACAGTCACCTGCTCGATATGAACACCGTAAAGCAAAGACGATCAGTCACAGCGTCTGCTTTCCAGCGCCCATATACCTCCCGAAATCAGGATCAGTGATATTAATCTGAACATTTGCTTCAGTCCATAGTTGCTTAGAACTGCAAGGGAGCCTGCAGTAAGAGCACTCGTGCCTCCCAGAGGAGACCCGTGCTCAGCTGGATGTGTGCGCCCTCCAGGCTGGCCCTCCTTCCTGCAGGGGCGGGCTCCTCCCTGCACTGCTTCTCCCAACAGTCCGAGTCAGAATCCCTCCCAAAGCCAATATTATACTTCATTAGACTTTAAATTGTCCCATTTGGTAAACAATTCCAGCTATTGTTCATTAAAAGGCTGTTTCTACGACTCTTCCCTTGATCACTGTTTCAGCAACTTTGACTTATCTGAGTTCCTAGAACATTCCGGCCAAGATCCCGCATTAGGCCCTCTGCATGGGCTGCTCCCCCTCCTTGGACCAGTCTTCCCCCATATGTCCACATTCTCATCTCCTCATCTCCTTTAGATTTTTGTTCACAAGGTACATTCTCAGTAAGGCTTTCTCAGGCCATTCAATTTAAAATTGCAATCTTAGCCATCCTCGCTCTGGCCCAGGCAAACCCTATCCCTTTCCATGTTTTACTTTTACAATAGCATTTTTCACTTTCTAATATGCTGTATATTTTAGTGGTTTATTTTGTTTATGTTCTGTCTTCTCACACCAGAATGTAAGATCCATAAGGATATGAATTTTTCCTGTCTTGATCATTGCTATATCCTCAGCAGTAGACAGTGCCTGTCCCATAGTATAGGTGCTCAATGAATATTTGTTGAATGAAAGAATGAATACAGGGAAGTCACATCAGGTTTCTTTGTGTAATACTCTGTTCACATACCAAAACAAATGATCCAAAAAACAGGAAAACCAGTTCAGCAGTTAAAATATTTGTAATACAAGGTATTTGAATCTATAAATCTATAAATGTTTGCATGGATTTGACTGTCCTAGAGCTATGAGTATTTTTATCCAAGCCAGGACTTTGTAATCTTTTCAGGACATAGATTGCTTTGAGGAACTGGGACACCTTTAAACTGTTTCCCCAGAAAATTATAAATTTGATACAAGCACAAACTTGTGCCTACATTTTCAAAGGGTCCTCTAACTCTTCCAAGTCTATCTATGTACCTCAGATTAAGAATCCCTGACATGGTCATTGACTGTGATATTTATGTAGTTCCTTCCACTGTGTGTGTAAATTTGGGAATTAACTAGATTAGAGGTCACAATCTGGACTGTCTACAGGGGCCAGGCAGGTAATGTAGATGAATAAAGCAGGCTGCATGTGAGAAAGTCTGGAATGTTGGTTACTAGAGAGAGTGTCCTGAGGGAATTAGAATGAGGCCCAGTACAGCCAACCTTCTGACTTTTCAAAATAACTGGAGATCTGGATTTTTGTACATATGAATCTCCAGATTATAGTATTTGAAAGACATGGTACACAGTAAGCAACCCGTGACCTCCAAACTAAATAAAGAAGAGGAGGTGGGTGGGGGGATGTGGTGAGAGGTAACAGAGCCAGTGTGGTATAAAGGAAAGGATACCAGTCTGAACCTTTAAAAATTAAGTACTGGATTCTTCCTCTGCCTGGGTAGGGCTGTACATTCTTGGCTAAAAAGGTGATTGCTCAAGGCTTCATTTCTTCAGTTTTTAAGTGGAGCATAATATGTCTTTAAGATCTCTGCCCAGAAAAACAGAAATTCTATATTGTATCATAAAAAATTGTAACGAGAAAACCAAAACTAGGCCACCCTGAGAAAATGACAGATAATAAGAAGGATTAGATGATATTTTACATGGCATAGAAATATTCATAATTAAACAGCCTTTTATATGTAATATGACACAAAACTTAGGTGCAAGGTATAAAATATTGTATTTCTCTGTACCCCTAAAGAAGGAATGATTCCAAGAGCCCACACAAAGGCAAAAAGGTATAGAGGACTGAAGATCTCAGAAAGTTTGGCATCCCAAGCTCTGTGCCAAGCACTAAGAATAAAAAGATGAATAGAAAATTATTCCTTTTCTTGAAACAGAACACAACTGTTGGGGTAATTTTCAGCAAGCTGACTTCTGGTGAAATTGGGAACTTTCCACACCCGTGCCCATTTCAGCACTTCTCAGTACATGCGCAGCCCAGGGCCCGGGTCCTGCTGCGATGCCCGTGCTTTCCTCCAGCAGGGCGCCTCCCAGTTCTGCTGCTGCTTCTTGGTCTTCCCACTCACTTCCCAGACCTCCCTCTGGCTTTCAAGGTAGTGGCTTTCCACTTTCCCAATCAAGCTCTGTGTCTCAGTCTGTTCATGCTGCTATTACAAAATACCAGAGACTGAGTAATTTATAATGAACAAAAATTTATTTCTTACATTTCTGGAGGCTGAAAAGTCCAAGATCAAGGCACTGGAATTTGATGTCTTGTGAGGGCCTTCTTGCTGCTACAACACAGCTCCTTGTTGCTTCATTCTCCCATGGCAGAAGGCAGGAGCGGGGGGG